GATTTTAAAAAAAAAGAAAAACATATTGAAGCCAATCAAAACATTATTTAATTTAAACTAGTTAAAATGAGCCACGTGTAATAAACTAAAAGAATATTAGACGAGAGGCATTATAAATACAGTCAAGATTATCTAGAATATTATTAGAACCTTGTAGAGATTCAGTTAACAGACCGACTGTACAGATATACTACTGTCACCATGAATCAGAACACTATCCCAGTGTTCCTGATTATCAGTGTCTATGTTAGAGTTGTGATGGGTAAGACTTAGATTATTATATAAAGGGGCGAATGAAAAGACAGAGTTATTTCAGCACCAAATTGAAGAGTAAAATAAATGGGATCAGGGTTTAATTTAAGCAGTATCGCATCGCAATTAACGAGTCAAAATGACCCCTTTTACCGTCCAATATCTCCTTTCCTTTGCAAAAATTGAAATTTATCACGACGATCTGCGAATCAAATCTTATTATATATTTTTCGTGAGAATTTTTAAAAAATCTAGATATATATGGCATCTCTATGTCATTGCCAAGATCTTCTTCAGATTTACTACTGGAACATTTTAAATTGCTATCGGATATTTGAAAAATATCAAATAAGGGTTCCATCACACAAGAAAGGCGATATTACTGCGCTCAGAGCAGTAATGTAGTTCTACGTCCCACTTTTCTGCACCATGTGGGCTAATGAAGATGGGCAACGCCATGTAAAGTGCAATGAAAGAAAATTTTGCCAGGACAGCGGCATTAGCCTGCTCTTTTTCGCAATATGGTCGCATATCTCTTGGTTATAGAGGTCGACTGTTTATAAGTTTGTAATGTGTTGGGGAAACGTTCACTAGTTTTCCTCACGTTTGACCGCGACATATACATTTCATGAGATCGCAAATGGTCGCAGTCTGGTGTGACGGGGCTACCACATGAAAGCTTGGCCAATACTTAGTTTCTTAACAAAAATTCAACGATCATGACCATGGACATTTTCAGCCAGCCACACTGAAAGTAAATCACTACATCCGACAGTCACTGCTCATAAAACGACTTTTTAAACAACTTCTCTTCCACCTGTAAATCCTTTTATACCACCCAACTTTCTATACGCAAATCTTCGACGAAAGATGGCCTGTACTGTTCCGACATTCGTATCAACTTCGGGACTATAATGCTGCTAGTTACCCTCTTATATTGACCGAAGATCGCCATAATGCAAAACTATTTCCAGGAGTTTCCGTACAAATGACGCAATGTCTTTTTTTAGTAAATTAAATACGCCAGAGCTACATTATCAAACATGCCAATCTAGTTTGTGAATCTATATTTTTAAAGTGGTTACTTCAGTATATAATATATTATAAAAAAAAACATATACCATAATAAAACTACCAATTATTATTCATGAAACTATTTCGTCATGCATATTTTCTAATAACATGTTCACAGTGATTTGTAGGTGTATGTGCAACATAATGGTAACTAACGAATATTGGCGAAGGTTGAGCCGAATGCTGGACCGTTTTTTGAAAATCTATGTAATTGGCCGAGACTATAGTGGCTATTTAATCTGATTGGTTGATGTTTGTTGCTGGACAACATAAATTAAAAGTAGAGCTTTCATGTGTATTAATGAATCAGTAATACGAAATATGTCTCGGATATTTTTTCTAATCTTGAGAAACCGATACTTTTAACATCAGGTGATAAAAATATCACAAATAAACTGAACAAATTTGCGAGGGTTGCCATTTTGTTTCTGCTGTAAACAAGTCGTTTAAGACATACGATCGAATAAGCTAAACTTTAATTTTCCTTGGTGGAAATTGAAAGCGTCGTAACACAAACTTCGCAGGTCCAGGACTTTATCCTAGTGGAAGACAGGAGAAGTCAGGGTGTCAGAGACAAACAAATCTGAACGAAAACGTAATTTCCGACATCAAATTCAGAATCAGTACAAATAATTACATGACAACGATGTATAGATGTTGATAGCCAACAATGGCACTCTATATTAGAAACAACCTCTAAATTAGATTTTTATCACAGTTTTAAACTATATCCAAATAACGAGATGTATCTTAGTATTAGTATTAATCAATTTCGCACTGCATTATGCAAATTGAGGTGTTCAAACCACAACTTACTGATAGAAGAGGGACGAAAACTCGGACTAACTAGAGGTGAAAGACTATGCCCTTTGTGCATCAGACCACATATTGAAACGGAGTACCATTTTGTTTTAATTTGTGCATTTTACCATGATCTTAGGGAAAAACTAATTCCCAAATATTATTATGAATACCCATCCCATCAAAAACTATCCATGCTTATGTCCTCCCAAAATACTGCCATCCTGAATAATTTAGCAAAATATACCTTTTTATCTTTCAAAAAGAGAAAGTTATTTTTTACTAACAAAGGCTAAATTAGACCAGTTACTATATTATGTAAATGTTTATGATTTGTATAATGGGCCTGTGGCCTCTTTATTATTGAATAAAACTATCACTATCATTAGTCAAAATTAGGCATTCAGATACTCCAAAAGGGAGGGAGAAAATTTTTAAAATATCTCAGACTACATTCGTATTCAGTATCATATGCATAAAATGTTTTAGTGGTCTTGAGTCCATTGTCGAGTTAAATAAACACGTGATCGTTACTGTATCCTTCCTTTTATACCCTCCATGTTTGTTTCTTTGCAGGAGCTTGTACTATACAAGTCACGAACGGTGAGCTACACTTCCCATTCAATATATCACTACCTGCAACGACCGCATCGTCCCAAACGAATTGTGACCTGGATTGTTCTGACGACGATGAATGTACATTCAGCGTGCTTGACCATGGTACCTGTTTGAGGTATGGCAGTCCCGTCACTTATTTTAACCCAAGTCTTGGATTCGATGACTGTCAATCCGAGTGCCTCGAAGATGACAAGTGTCAGAGTTTCACCACATTCAATTCTGTCGAGATAGAGGATTGTTTTCACTACAGCACCAAGGGCGACGAATTCTACGTTGATAAATATGAAGACTGTAGCTTCGGAGTTAAAAATTGTTAACAATCTGAAGAAGATGATTTGAGTTTTATGATAAACAATAGAAAGCTTATATAAATAGTTATAAATTCTACACCATTGTTTCTTTTCAGTTGTATTCTGTACTTAAGAAATTCGAGAAGGCATTACTCCATTCTAGTGATCAAGGGGGCGCCAAAATTCCTATCATTAAGCGTTTCAGCGAAAATCCCCATTTAGCACAGCAGCGCCTCTTTAATTATATTTAAGATAATCAAATGGTTAAAACAAACAGCGAAGAATCACATTTTTCGTTCCCATCTTCAAAATATGAGCATATATTGAGCATGAGGTGTGATGAATTCTTTCTTTTCATTCATTCTTGAGTATTGAATGGGTAGTCTGTGCAGCCTTGATGCAGATTGAAGTTGAAAGCATTGAAATCGATGAAGACCCTGAACACACAGACATGTACATCTGCCTGGATGTAGAATTAAAAACGGTGCTCCCCTTTTCTCAAGCCCTGCAGCTTCTTTGTCACCCGCAATACCATTTTTGGATGCCTACCCAATATTGAGAAGTATATTCCTAGCTATTCCTGTCAACTCTTAGACAGCTGATTTCACATTTTCTGCCCTGTACAGTATCGGGATCGGCGAATTATTTCCATCCTCTTTCCGATCCGACACGAAATAGTACAATGCATTCATGACATTGCAGTCGAAACATGAGAGTCATTGCTTCTTTACAATATCACGCTATTGCGAACTACGTCTAATACAAGAGTCAAGGTATAAGACGCAATTTATAATGCCTTGACTATGTGAAGATGTAAATCAGCGATGTACTCGAAATTTGTGCATGTATATATTAAAAAGACAGAGTGGATTATACAATATACATTTATTATACGAATAATTCAAGAATACTAATTATTTTTTGTGTAGACGGCCTGTCATTTGGGTCATCATTCAAACATTCATGCATCAAATTTTCAAGATTTTGAGAAATTGGCTGATTCCTCAACGATTTCATCATTAGGTAACCAAGACTATATATATCCGAGGCCTCTGACGTGGCAAAACCGCCTCGAACTTCTGGTGCTAGAAAACGAAATGGTTCTGTATCACCAGTGATGCAAAATCGTCGACCAGATTTAAAGCTCGCCACCCCAAAATCTATGAAAGTTACTCGATGTTTGTTTTCAATGTCCACAAGAACATTATTAGCCTTCAGATCATTCCACAAAACTTCTTTCTGGTGGAGAACTTTCAATCCACTCGCCAAATTATGTAAAATCCTAATCCTTTCTCGATTATTACATTCATTTTCAGGTCCTTTTAGAAGATCTCTAAACGTGATGCCATTGGAACTGAATTCTTGTACAAGGCTAAAATCTCCAGGGTAATCCCCTAATCTTAAAATTCCATGGAATTCTGGAACAAGTCCAGTATCTTGAAGATATGTTAAGATTTTAGCTTCATGAACGATGGCCGTTGTTGGAGAGAGTTCTGCCGAATAACCTTTGACACAAACTAAATGAGACACATTGTTCATCTGTGCTAAATATACTGAGCCGTATGTTCCCTCGCCCACCAAGAAATAGTCGCCATTTTGGTGATGGATGAACTCGATTGCATCTGCTTCTAAAATCTCCACCTCAATTTCTTTTAAAGGCGTCACCGGATCGTATCTTTCTCGATGTTGAATGTGAATCGGTGTCCGAAAGTTTGCAAAAGTGGAAGCGGTGGATGAAAATGTGTTTGCATTAAACGGGGTGCAGAAATAATCTTCATCTTGGTGAATATGGATGTATTTCGGTGTAACACAACAGAATCCAGCCGGGGCGGAGTAGGACTGGGGGTAGGGATAATTGGCTGCCACCAAATCATTGGATACCCCTTTATTTGTAGAATTTACGCACCAATCACCCATCTCTTTATTTTCATTACTGGTATTATCTGCTGATGACTTCTGTTCAGTTGACATATGATTCCAAACTTCTTCTGGAAGTGATGGACTTTGATACTGCCAACTTGGTCCACGTGGTCCTTGGTACAGCCAACCTGGTATTGGTGGACCTTTGTACTGCCAACTTGGTCCACGAGGTCCTTGGTACTGCCAATTTTTTATCGTTGGACCTTTGTACTGCCAACTTTGTCCACGAGGCCCTTGGTACTGCCAACTTGGTATTGGTGGACCTTTGTACTGCCAACATAGTCCACGTGGACCTTGGTACTGCCATCTTGGTATGGGTGGTCCTTGTTGCTGCCAACTTGGTTTTTGATCTTGGTACAGCCAACTTGGTCCACGTGGTCCTTGATACTGCCAACTTGATATCGCTGGACTTTCATAGGGCCAACTTGGTCTTGGTGGAATTTGGTACAACCAACTTGGTTCAGAAGGACATTGGTCTGGTCTATGTTGACTAGAATCCAGTAACCCTTGTTGTTCTGCAAGCTTCGTGAAGATTTTCTCATATTTGAAGACATGGCTGATAGCTTCATCTGGTGGAAGGTTAAACTGTCGTGTAAATGTTTCACTGAATGTTCGTGACAGTAATGGAATATCCTTAAACAAGATCTTCCGAGATTCAAATGGAATTTCTGCAAGCTCTTCTTCAGCCGCCTGGAATACAGACATAAGGCATGAAATAAATTATTATTGGAGTAAAACGTCATGTAATCAGTGGTGGCGACAGTGAGGGGGCATGAGGGTTTAGCATTCTTCCCCTTCCCCCCTCAGATATTATGTAATATGATATGATACAAATATGTGTCAGACTGCATCAAATCAATGGAATTTTTCAAAATATTTCTATTAAACTAATGAGATCGCCATAAAGTTCGCAATGAGGTAAATTTAGCCAAATTATCACCAGATCTACCAGTTACTGAAAAAAAAAAACGTTTTCGAAAGAAACTAACCTTTGCAATGTGTTTAAATGTTGGAAATGATGTGGTATTAAGAATAGAATCTGAATTATCTTCAAGATTTTCTTGATTTCCTAAACCCTTCTTATCAGATTCTGATATCAACTGATCGCCTTCCATCATAAAAGAAATATATACTACAAGACGTAGATGCTACTTCCAGTCGACTCTGAAGACGTTTTGAGATAATAAACGTATTATGACGTTTTCGTTATTATTGTAACGTCATAATCAAACCTTGGTTATGAGCACGTCCGGGAATGATTCAAAATACGTAGGCAAACTTCAAAATATGTAGGAACTTCAAAATATGTAGAAAACTTCAAAATTCGTGGGCAAACTTCAAAATACGTGGGCAAACTTCAAAATACGTGGGCAAACTTCAAAATACGTAGGCAAACAATTTAAAGATTCAGGGCCCAGTACCAATAAAAAAAATTCAAATCTCAGATTCAAAACCCCCAAAAATGCTGAATTATGGGATACAGAATTGAATGAAACTTTGACTTGTTATCACAGGGCGAAAAATGTATTTAATCACAGAGTGTCTTATGGATCATAGATAATAAATTTCCTATATAGGCTAGGATGAGGGGGGTTAGGCAAATCGGAACGACAAAGCCGTAGTTCATGAATCGAATATATTTGTATTGTTCCCATAGCCTTGACCTAGTTTTAAATGACACTTTTATGTTGTTCAGATAGTATCTTCTGATTTTAATCACGCAAGAACATTAAATTTTTAAAGAATACTTTAATGAAAAGTAGTAAAATTCAACACTAAGGTGTTAACTGGGTCACATCGACTTTCTCGGGCCTGTAGCCAGCTTTGGGGCGTCGGGGCACATTGCCAAAAAGCCACCATAAAACATCATTCCCCGTAAAAGGCCTGCTGTGGGACTAATTAAGTGAAATATGTACATGGTAATGAAGTGTGTAGGGGATAGTGAGGTGCAATACCAAATATCCGTTCCTTGATCTGGCGTATCTTTGGCTTATGTTTTTATTCTGTAATTTGAGATCTATAATAGGCCTTACTCAACGTTCCCTTTCAACCTATGGCAGCGCGATCGCTTTGTACCAGTTTTGAGGAGCGATGCTCTCTTGTTCACCAAACGACGACAAGCATCACTTCGAACACTCGTTATTCCCAAATCAAATATATTAATGTATAACTACCAACCAAGTTGATAAAATAAATATTCTCTACACATCCTTATTAATATCGCACATTATTAATTCGCCCGTTTCCTCCCAAAACATCACGTCTACAGTCTTGTCCATTATCAGAAGTGGACTTGTTAGTTTTGAGGATTATTACCGGTGAGCTGATAAAGGTGACAGGTTGAATAAAATGGTGACCACACCCTCACGCCCCACACTAAAATAAACTACAAATCAACAAAGTAAATTGAAATCTAGAAACGGTCTGTATTATCTCGTGTATTGATTCTCGCTTATTCATGCACAAATTCTATTGCTCAAGTCTCGTGAATAAACTCTACGCTACGTGACTATATTCTATTGACAATAGCGCCATCTATTTACTGAACGGATCAAGGGACAATACTCCCATTCACTAGGTAATTTGTGTTAATTTAGACAACTTTCGTGTTGGACTAAATGCTATAGTTTACAGAGTAAAATATACTTCTGTCGGATTGAAATAAAAACTTAAATAAACTGTAGTACTCATTGATAATTAAATTGGTACCCTCGCGTTCTGTAATCGAAACGATATTCAAAATGCTGATTTCGTTTTTTATTCAAAGGTTTATGATTTAAAATTGTAAGGGTTGGGTTTATCAAGTGTATATTGTAACATTGAACTGATAGGGGAGTTTTGCGATCTATACCATCGTCTCAGAAACGGGATTTTTTCTTAGCTAAGCCAAATAGATTACTTTACCAAATTCCCTTGTGACAATATTACTGTGACCAGTTTCACTTTGACAAAAAACAACACAATTAATATGGACATTTTTTTTATCTCGAGGTACTGTGCTGTAATGAATGTTGATCATTTCGGGTGTCTGTGCCATTAAGAACACATATTTAGTATTTGGTATTCCTTATGGCTTTTTAGTCACTGGGGAAAATTTCAGAAAGTTTACTGTTTGCGTGGGCTTCAGTTGCCCTTCAATATATTAATGCAGCGATATATTTGAAACATACGACTACATCCGTTTTTGCATCTTCACAATAAAAAATCATTCAAGCAACCTTCTGATCAAAATAAATAACGGTTAATTCTTGAAGATGAGAATAGATCAAAACGTGGTTTTATCAATGGACGTCTGACTGCAGACGTGAAGCAGACGTAGAGTATCATCACGTGCACATATTGAAATTGAAATTTATTTATAACTGACACACCAAAGAGATCTGTGATATCACAACCTGTCATTAATGAAGATATATTTGACAGTTCATGTGCAAAGAATTGAAATTTGTACTATGTGCGTTTTTCGGGTGCACTACACACGTGCTAGACAATGGCGTATATTGAGGTCTGTTGACGTCATCACCAGGCTGATAATGGCAGATATGACCTTACTGTTTAACTCAAAACCCAGAACAACAATGACTCCATTTTTCAAGTTCTTTACCTGCACTGAATTCGACACATCTCAAGATTTTTACATGTCATATAAACCGACCCTGTAAACAAATCATATAATGAATTATTTTCACTTTAAATGCATCTCAATACAATCGAGTAGAAAGGGGGTGGAATTCATCCGATGTGGTCGAAACACTTCCATATTTAGATATACCGTGAGCAGTGTCGGCGCCAGTGGGGGTACAGGGGGTGGCATTTGCCCTCCTAGAAAAGTGGTTTGCACCCCCAATTGTACCCCCACTTTATTTTCAACAGATCAAAATGTCTACCATTTTTCTCCAAAATATTTGTCAGAATGAATACAATCAATTCATTTTTTAAAAAATTTTCTCTAAGACACTCTATGAGAGGTTTCCAACTACGACAACACCACAGAGTAGACAGAATTTGAATTCAGCCTCAGCAGTTGTCTCCATTATCTTTTTTTAAAATTGCGAAAAGTATGACGTAAAACTCCAGTGTGAAAGAGGCATATTTTAAGTCCTTCCTGTGGTGTTTCCTGATATCCCCAACGGGCAGTGACGTTTTTACGAAGGTGATGGGGTGTCAAATTTATGCCTGATGTTAGAGTGTATTGAGACGGGTCTCAATGAAAGCACTGGACTAGGTCAGAGAGCAATAGATAAGCTTATTAATTATATGAACATTTACTTAGTCATTAGTATGACAACACCCATTTAATATCTATTTTAAATCTAAAAAATCCAATTATTAGTCTATATAACTTTGTGGCAGTTCATTATATCATTATGTGCAGGAGTCACGCAAGATATATTTCAATAGTGTATTATTGTTTCCAACCCGGAGCACTCGACACCCAGATAAGGATACCAATCTTTCTGCCTTGTGACTCAAAATAGGGCATGCACATATATCATTTTTCTCCATAAAGAAAAACATGAAATTTAGCACCTTTATTATAGAAATTTACAATAAAATGCAAACTATTTGTTCAAAATACATTTGTTAAAAATACATTTTTGGGTGGTCGAAAAAATGCAGGCCGTCTATTCTATGACGGTAGATCAGAGGCTTTTTACGAAAGGTACCAAGCTTAAAGGGGCAGATGCGCGAATTTTTAGCCTAATCATATGTTAGTCTCAGAAACGGGAATTGTTCAGCTAAGCCAATCTGTAATAGTGTTCACAGCTCCCCGTCGAAAATTTAACATCTTTATCATCGAAATTTACAATAAAAAGTAAACTATTTGTTAAAAATATTAAAAAAAATACATTTTTGGGTGGTCGAAAAAATGCAGACAGTCTATGACGGTAGATTAAGGGCGTTTTGTAACTTAACCACGACATCGTATGATCATTGCGTTGATTTTAATTATGAAAAAAATCATAAATATTTGGTATAGATTATTAAAGAAATATATTGTACTACCTCTGAGAAAGAACGTAAAATTCAAAAACTTTGTATATATTCAACAGAATCCCTATATAACCTGATAAAACGTAAAACTAAGTAATTATATAACTATTATTTAATGGATTTACAGAGAGATTCTGTATAGTTATGACACCAGGTAATTCAACAGATGAATGTGTCACATAATCTAATTGGTCAAGTTTGTATGATTATTCAAAGAGGTAGTATCGCTTAAGCTATCTTTAGACAATCCTTGAAAAGTCCACAGTAGGACAAGCTAAATACAACAAACGAATATTTAGAAAGATAAAAGAAAGATAAAGCTTATATATGATTTTTATGAAGTTGAATTGGCTTTAACAGAATTGAAATGAAATTAAGTTTTACATCAGAACTTTTTGCTCTTCCGGTTTCATATAATGAAGGCTGACAGCATAAATCAGTAT